AACATTATTGATGATAAATGAGTGATAAATAAATCAGTCTCTGGTTATACTCGTGAAAAATCCCAGATGATGTGAACTCCAATTCCCAGTGACTTGAATAATGATCTTATTATGCGCTCACCTCATATAAAGCCTATAAATAGGCTAAAAACGCTTGTGTTCCCCAAATGGGAGTATATCCTTGAGTTGCACCGTAGCTGTAATGGTGGTTACTCCTTAACAATGTAGCAGTAATGGTGGTTACTCCTTCAATTGTGGCTCTCCTCTCCTGCCACTATCCCCACAAAGATCTCTCGCTCTCTTAATACACTGGAGCACTCCTCCTTGGTATATCCCTCAGTGTGTTAACCTCCCTAGCGGTATGATTATTTCAGATTTTTGGTGCTGAAAGCGGTACCATTTTTTTGCATGGAAATAAGAAGTTTTTTTTATTGTAGGCTGTAATTTTTAGGAATAACTCACTGAAATCTGTCCGATCAAGAGTCTATTAAACATCCCGGGTATGATAAAATTTGAAACACGAAATCATAAATTATAATTTAATAAATAATCATAAAAAAAATAATAATATAATATAATACATTTAATTCAATAATATAATCAAACCGAAAACACTGAAATTTGAAATATAGCGCCAAGTTCGCACATTGCTGAGCAAAGTCGCAAAATCGTTTTCAGTGTCTGATGACGAATTTCCCCACGAATCATCACTCAATTCTGCAAGTGGTTCTAATTTACTATCGCTGTTCTCTAGCTGATCTAAACCCGCTTTTGACCTAAAGGGACGCTTTTTGGACGCCATGGATGTTTCTCAGTTTCCAGGCAGAAAGAACAGACAAAACGCAGGCAGGGCACAGGACAAAGCACTAGGGACAATATGTATGTGAAATGGGTTGAAACAGCAATGTTTTACTATGAAAAATGTGTTTTGAAAAAAATGACTTTTGCTTACATTTTCAAATTTCCCGCCGCCCCCGGCGGCGCCCGTACGTCCCGACGTCACAGGGACCGGAACATAGAAGCCGAATGCCGGCATCGGCCGGAGGAGATGGCCGGGGACGCTGCAGGGGACACATCGCAGGAGCGCAGGACAAGGTAAGTGCTGCAGGGACTCCCTATGCAGCGCCGCATGGTAAGCCCAAGTGTAGCTCGGGGTTACCGCTTTTGGCACTGACATTTTACCCCGAGCTACACTCAGGAATACCGCTAGGGAGGTTAAGAGAGTGAGAGATCTTTCTGGGGATAGTGGCAGGAGAGGACAGCCACGATTGAAGGAGTAACCACCATTACTACTACGTTGTTAAGGAGTAACCACCATTACTGCTGCGGTGCAACTCAAGGATATAGTCCCATTTGGGTAACACAAGCGTTTTTAGCCTATTTATAGGCTTTATATGAGGTGAGCGCATAATAAGATCATTATTCAAGTCACTGGGAATTGGAGTTCACATCACCTGGGATTTTTCACGAGTATCACCAAAAACTGATTTATTTATCACTCATTTATCATCAATAATGTTTATATTTTTTGTGCACATTGAATATTGACTGATATTTTCAGTGTATTATCACTTTATGGGTGCACTTCATTTTTTATATATATATTGTGTTTTACACTATTATATAGATTTAATTTAAAATAATTTTTATTTAATTAATAACAATTAGGAGCGCGGCACCATTGTGATATTTGTTGAATTTTTATGCACATTGGATGAGTATGTTTTGTGCTGACGAACCTATCTTATAATTAGTTGGTGGCTCACAAGATTTCTATTTCATTTCACATTTGTTCCTAGTAAAAAAAATTGAAGTGAGACAATCAGCATGACTGTTAGATTGACAGCATTTGCATAAGTAGATAAGCAATGTTTCTCTTTCAGCACCAAATCTTTATGTAGGTATAACGGCCTATTTAGACCACATGGTATGTAGTGAGGTTTTTCTGTCTGTCATTAGGTTATATAGCAATAAATGTTTAAGCAACTGCTAAATGTGATTTCTTCACTTCAGCAAGTTAATGTAACTAAAGACCTATGCTTTTAGTCATAGGATGTCACCTCCTGAGAGAAACATGGAGACATGTATGTGGAGAGATCTGGCACAAAGTGTATGTGACCAACACACTGGAAAGAGATGGCTTTGGGAGTGGGGGTCCGGGTGGGGTGGGGTGGAGGGTTTCCAAAACAGTGTAGTGCAGCACCTCTCAAGAGACTGAAGATTCTCTACAGCAATAGATAAGGACAGCAGAGGGCGCATCTGAGTGTAGCAGTACAAAAACTGATTTATAAATGAGTTTACAAAAACTGATTTCTAAATGAGTTTACTGCTACTCTCCTTGCGCCCTATGCTGTCCTTATCTATTACTGAGGGAGACATGGAAGCTGGGATTGTTGGCTTCTAATTCTGCTAATGTTAGTTGCCTGGATCTCATGCTCACCTGTTTGGCTTCTGTAATGTGGGACCCTGATCTGGAGCAAGTATGTAAAAAAGGAAAAAAGATGAACAATCCCTTGCGCTTAAGAGCAGTGCGTCAGCAAGTTTCGGGTCTCTGGTCCTTGGCTTCCCTCTGTGCTGGGGAAACCCAGGAAAAGTACTGGAAAACGAGGAACAGAGAGTGCACCAGGCACATCAATGTCCACAATGCACTCAAGGTCGCCTGGTCTCTTAAGCAAGTCCTAACCACAGGGGGACCATCCGAAAGGCTGGCGCATTATGACTGATTTGATTTGACTTATTTGTTATATAAGGACTTTCTATGCAACATCCAAGATTAGCTCTGAAACATGTCAGCCTTTTGGTTGGCCCTCCTGTGGTTGGGATTTGCTTAGGAGACCAGGTCACCTAGAGTGTATTGTGGACTTTGATGTACCTATATTTATGACTCGTTTTCAGTATAGATTTATTTTATTCATACAATAAAGCTGTTACAAAGGTAATGCGCAAGGCTGGGGTGCCCTCTGTTCCTTGGTTTCCACGTAAATAAGGAAGCCTGACTTTCCTAATTTGAGTATTTTGTTTCAGTTTAATGACTATTAAAACCAGTACGTTAGCATAACAACCCGTTTACTAGCATTTTTATAAAAAGAGGTGAGTGATAACAGCCCCCATATTCCTCTTTTACTTTGTGGCAGAATTCAGATTTATGCATTACGGTTACATGTAATGCACGGTCAGGGGCGGACTGACAACTCATGGGGCCCCCGGGCAAAAGGGGATCATGGGGCCCCTGTGTCCTTGCCCACACTCAAAAAAAAGCCTATAAAAGGTACTAGGGGCACCTCATGGGGCCCCCTACTGACCCCAGGCCCTCGGGCAGTGCCCAAGTGCTTGAATGGTCAGTCCGTCCCTGTGCACGGTGCAATGTGCATTGTGTTGTGGAACCAATAGATGCCAGTGTAACTACAGTACAGCATACCACAATATGCACTGCATGTTTTGTGGTGCGCTATGTTACTGTAAATGCTGCAGGTGTGGTTGAAATGGGAAATAATGTCCCAAACAATAAATTGATTGTAGCTAATTTTTTTTTTTTTTTTTTTTGATAGAAGTGACATACAAAATCCATTTTTGATTGCCTGTGGTGCATGTACAATCCCTTGTATACACTAGACTGATGCTGGGAATAGCGAAGACTACCTGGACCAGGGGTCTCCAAACTTTTCAAACAAAGGGCCAGTTTACTGTCCTTCAGACTTTATGGGGGCCAGATTGTGGCAAGTGGGAGTAGAAAAATGTCCTGGGACCAGCATCAATTAGAATAAACATGGCCTCAGGGTTTGTGGTCAGTAGGAGCAGGAGTAGTGCCCCATCATTGGTATTAGTGGAAGAAACGGTACACCATTGTTGGTGTCTGTAGAAGGAATAGTGTCTCATATCATTGGGAGCAATAGTGTCCCAAAGGCTGGATATAGGCCAGCAAAAGGCCACATCTGGCCCTCGGACCGCAGTTTGGAAACCCCTGGCCTAGATGATGTAGCTCCAGAATTTGTAGAAGTGATGTTATATAAGTGGCTGCCCGATGGCAAAGCCTGGAAGACGTTGGACCCAGAAGAAGATGGCTGAAAATGTCAGCAATGGGGAAGGAGCCCAGGCACATCAGAAGGTAAGTGTGCCATAATGTCCAAGTATGCCTACATTCTTTCACACTATGGTAAGCCCACCCATCCTAAATGTTGTAAAATTATTCTTTATAGGCATCTGTAACCCATGAAAATGTGCATTATGAAAAAAATAGGTGTAAAGGCACCCTCTAGCAAGGCTTTAGGTTTTTGGGGTTTTTTTTTTGCCTGCAAATTATCCCAGATTTTTAGTATATTTGGCATTATTATGGTTGGTGATATCCAGAAAAATCTATTGTTTGGTGTGTGCCCAACAGAGAGACTGTTATGGCTGCTTACTACACCCAGCACCATTCTGTCCCTCTCACTTTACACAAGGAGGCTCTATTTATAGATGGTGGGAGAAAGCTGTCAAAGGAGTCCCAATGAACATAGCTCCGTTCTGAGAAATATTCCGAGAGCAACTCCCACACAAGCAACTGACAGTCAAGGTCACATGCAAGGGTGGTCCGGCCCTGCCTTCCCATTAAAAGCATTCTGCTCGGACAGCCTGGGCTAAAGGATACATACTCACTTAAGACTTTGCATTTGTGCTGGTGAGCAATAAGATCATAAGATTTTAAACATGCTGCTCATCTGTGTCTTCCTCTATTACTAATACACCTCATTCTCAATGTCTGTACTGCTTTGGCCTAGTCATTGTCTTTGCAAGTAGCTGTTGAGTTTTATTTAACTCGGTGAATACTTTTGTGCTGATCATAGAAACTAGATTGTTATTAAAAATATTGTCTGTGCTTTTCTGCGGCTTTGTTAAGTGTATTTTAATTGGAGGTCACCCTGACGTTCAATTGTATCACAACTTTTTTTTTAATGTACAATCAATGCAGTTGAGTCATGTCCCTGATACTTTTTTTATTTGCACTAACAGTTAAGCTTAGCTTGCCCTGAAAATGTAACTGTAAGGCTCCATGCAGGGGCGGACTGACCATTTGGAAACTCGGGCACTGCCCGAGGGCCCGAGGTCAGTAGGGGACCCCATGAGATGCTCTTGGTACCTTTTTCATAGGCTTTTTTGAGTTTGGGCAAGGACACAGGGGCCCCATGACCCCTATTGCCCGGGGGCCCCATGAGTTGTCAGTCCGCTCCTGGCTCCATGTACACTGCAGCTGATAAACTCACGTTTAGGAGCTTTTCTGCTTTTTTTTTAGCAGCCCCTGAACTCTCTCCCTAATGTTTTCCTATGTGTCCATGTACACTATGTTGTTTACAGTCGTTTACCGGCAGTTGAGTTTACAGTCGTTTTTTTGAACGCACCAAACTTGCATTCAGGAGTAGATTTTATCAGCGTTTCAAATGCCAAATGCTTGTAAACGTGGCTAACTGCGTTTATAAGCATTTGGAACTTTTTTAACTCTTCCATTTCCAGATGCTGTCCAGAGCCTTTTTTCATCATGAAAAATGCATGCAAAGCATTTTCCCGGTACTCAAATGGACCTGGTACACCATAATTTGAGGTTTCACAGGAAAGAAAATATGTTAGACACTGCTGCAATAATTTCTGCACAGAAATGAGCTGAAACATCCAAACACCACAAAAAAACCAAAAAAAAAAACACCTAATCTCAACAAATACTTCTCTATCTGCTTCTACTCTCTCTATTTCTCTCAATATGTCTGAAAATAGTTAATTTTGTACTGTGCATTCTGGGCATTTTGGAAGGTCTCCTGTGGTTATCTTTAAAAAACGCTTCTAAAAACAAACAGGCATAAACACGCTATGCAAACTCGGCTAAACAGACGTTTTTTAACCTACGTTTTCTAGCAGTCAGTTTTCATCGTTCAGAAGTGTCCCGTGTACATGGAGCCTTAGTACAAGTAAAAAAAAAATCACAGACAGTTGCAAGTTCACTAATACAGCTACAATCACCTTAATATAAAACAGAAAAACAAATTTAATAAAAAAATCCCATAAGGGGCAGGGATGGAGCACCCATGAAATGCAGGCCATAGACGGTTCGTTTATCGACCGATTTTTCGTTTAAAAGAATAATCCGACGATTTTTGCACGGTTAGTGGGGCAATGGCATCGGCCAATTTTTGCAGTTCCTCCTCATTTCGTTGATCGGTCATGCTGAAAATTCGTGAAAAACGGCCGATTTTCGAAATCATTGGTGGCAACATCGATTTACAGAACGAACGATGTTTAGTTTTTTCGGACGAAAAATCGGCTGATAAACGAACCGTCTATGGCCTGCAAAAGAGAGCACTGCAGACCTTCCCGCTTGCAGGTGTTGTCTAATTTAAAATTTTTTATATGTGTGATTTTAATTTTTATTTACTTTGATTAGTTTGAAGCATTAAATGTAGTATCTTGTGTTCTTTGGGCCTCATGTATACTGGATGTTTTTACAGCTGCTCCCCTGGGCATCTGGTGTTTTTTCTTTTTTTTTTTTTTCCTGCCTCTAAACCCCCAGCATGTTATCCTATGTGTCCATGCACACATAAACCTTTCGTGGAATTTAGAGGCAGGAAAAAACCCACTGCCAGTGTGTCCAGGAGCAGCAGAGTTTTGGCAGAAATATTGCTTGCTGCGTGTAAATGTGTCTAAATGCAGGTAATGCTAGGCGCATTTAGTGCTTGAATGTTAATTCATTTCTTTGGTTAGAATAACTATTTTTATTTAGGCCATTGAAATGAATTAATGCCCAAATGCTTGACACGGGTAAATGTGGCTAAACATGTTACACACTTTTACAAGCATCAAGGTCTTCTTTTTTTTTTTGCCAAAACGCTGCTGCTAGGAAGAAGGCTTCTAGGAGAGTTAAAGAAAAAGTCCAGTGTGCATTATGGCACAGTAATTTAAAGTTTTTTTTTGCCTTCAAGCATTCCATGGATGAAGGTAAAAAACACCTGTGTGCTGCTCCCCCCACAACCCCCTCTAGTACTCACCTGAGCTTCCTCTTGTTCCAGCTGCCCTGGGTCTCTCTCTCTCCTCATTGGCTGAAACATTGCAGCGGGAGCCATTGGGCTCCCACTTCTGTAAGTCACAGCCAGTGAGGAGAGAGCAGGGGTTGGGGTTGAGCCACGGCATTATGTGTCGTATGAACACAGAGTGGGGTTTGGGTGCAAGCACGCATTAGTGCCCCCATAACAAGTAGAGAGAGGCCAGGAGTGCCGGTGGGGGAGCTAAGAAGATAAGGAGGATAAGGGATGCCCTGTGCAAAACCACTGCACAGATCAGGCAAGTATAACATGTTTGTTTTTTTTTTTTTCTCTTAATGAATCTTTAACCACTTCCTGTCCAGCCCATGTACATAAACAGCCGGACGGGAGCAATGCAGGAGCGGGTGGCCATTTCTAAACGTCCTCCCGCATTCATTGCCTGTGCGTGCTCCCTGTCATCCGGACACAGCGGAACACCGATCGCTGTACGGGACCGTTGTGTGAAGTCCCGGTCATGTGATCACTGACTGGCCAATCAGTGATCACATGAATAGTAGTAAGCAAGATGTCACTTCCTGACATCATTGCTTACTACGTGTGAAATCTGTGAATGATCACAGAGGTCACATGGTACAAAGTTATTCACAACAGCCTTGTACCATGTGACAAGCTGTGACCAATCACAGCTCTCACAGTATTTCTCAATGGCTGCAAGAATGCAGCCAGAGAAAAGGAGAAATGATTGCTTTTACAGCCTTTATGGGTGTAAAAGCAATCAGTGTAAAAAAAAAAAAAAAATCTTCATCACCCCCCACAAGTAGTACAGTGTCACTATGGTGACACTGTACTGCTAGGGTGTCAGTATGTTTTAAAAAAAACCCATTAAGTAATAATATAAAAATGTAAAAAAAAACATTTTTGAAAAATTATAATTTTTGGTTATTTTTTTTTATTTAAATATTTTATTGTTTTCAAATCACCTATTAAATGTACAAAAGCTAATAAAACAGACAGTATACATTTCTGTCATAACACTCCCCAGAAATAACCTTAAACTCAGTGATCTTTTACCCCTCCCCTTACATATTCCCCCCCCCCCCCACCCCACCCCACCCTTTGATTATGCATTTTTAACTTCATTCTAGAAATCCTGATCCTTAGTTTATTTAATTTTTGGCTATAAACTAATTTTGTTTTTTTTTTTGTGTTTTTTTTTACTAAAAAGTTAGCTGAATACATTTTGGCCAAGATTTATGAAGAAAGATTATTTATCTGCAAAATTTTATAGAAAAACACTTTTTTTCAAAATGTTTGGACTTTTTCATTTCATTCAAAAATAAAAACCCCAGTGGGGAATAAATACCACCAAAATAAAGTTTTATCTGTCTCAAATAAAAGTTAAAAAATGCATATGGGTACAGTGTTGCATGACCGCGCAATTGCTATTCAAAGTTTGATAGCACTGAAAGCTGAAAATTGGCCTGGACAGGAAAGGGGTGAAAGTGTCTGGACATGAAGTGGTAGAAGTTTATTTTGTGGGTAGAAGGACTGTGGTTTATGTGTACACAGTGAGTAGGCTCAAGTTTTAGGCCCTTCCCATTTTTAGCTCCTTTTTGCCACATCCATAATTCGCCATGGCACATGCCAACTAGTAGTTCTTCTCTGGGTGCCCAAGGCTGAACCTCTCACTCCTGAGGGAAAAAATATTAACTACGGCCTTGTCTGCCACTGTTGCACTGAAAAGGCAAGCACCAGATCACTTCTGTGGACTGTAGAACACCTATATCACCCCCCCCCCCCCCCCCATCTTATGGAGACAAGGAGAGGTGGATGCATTCTATAGTTCTAAGTTCTCATTCAGATGGACAGTGGCACCCATAAAGAATGTACAAGGTGTTTGTTTTCACGTCTATATCCTTCCCAAGAAGTGCGGGTGCCAGTGCCTACCTGAAAGAGGCCTAACACAATTTTGTCCCAGGGTGACAATTCTTCTTCTCAATAGGTCCTGTATGGTGGGTGAGCATTGTGTGTTACTGGCAGGATCACCAGATGAATATCAAGGAAAAAATAAAGCCTAGAAAAGAGAAGTGATTTTGTTCTTCATTTTTGAGAAACTTTAAGCTGCCTACTGAACAGTAGCTCATGACAACTGTAGGGAACTGACAGCTGCAAGCATCTGTGGTGCTACATTCTTTTTGGATCATATATTAGTGTATGATGATAACGAAAATCATGCAGCACACAAGGCTGCAGATTCCAATGTCTTTGTACACCAGAGAGTGACATTGAAAGTCAGCCATGGAAAATGTGTCTTTCGTTGCCTTTTTAATTTAACTTTGCTCACCATACTAGACACTGATATATAATTTCTCAGAAAAATACTGGCAAATGTATCAACCTCTAGAGGCGTGTTTAGTAAATAATGATTATTGTATGTTGAAGAAGCAAAGATGTTGCAGGTCTCTGTCAATGTGTACTGAACATTATGGAATTACAGTCAGTACTTAAAGTGATTGGAAAGGTTCGGATTTGTTTTTTTTAAATAACAAAAAAGTCATACTTACCTGCTCTGTGGAATTGTTTTGCACAACAATCCTAATCATCCTCTTCTCGGGTCCCCTGCAGGCACTCCAGCCCCTCCCACTTTGAGTCCCCCCAGAGCAAGTTGCTTGATCTAGGGCAGGGGTGTCAAACTCTATTTCATCACGGACCGTATTAGTATTATGGTTGCCCTCAAAGGGCCGGTTGTATCTTTAAGACTAGATGTCCAGAGCACCCCACCCCCCATTACATCAGATGTCAAGAATCCCACAGCCTCTGTAACATCACCGTGCACCCCCTTTGGGGGCAGAGCTGGAAAGCAGAAAGTGCAGGGTCTGGAGGAGGACCAGAGGAGGAGTGGAGTCAGTTACCATTCTGCTAAATGCTGAGACCAAGGGTGGCAGAGATGAGGGGGTGCTGCTGCTGCTGAGAGGTGGAGGAGTTCTATTCTCCTCTCTGCTGTCAACTGCTGAGACAAGGTAGGGGCCAGAGACAAGGTTGTACCTGCAGTAGAGGTGCAAGGGCCACATGAAATGGCCTGGAGGGCCGGATTTGGCCTGCGGGCCTTGTGTTTGACACCTGTGTGCTAGGGGCACTCAGGTGTGCTCACTCCTGAGCCACCTTTGTGTGTGTGTGTGTGTGTGTGTGTGTCTCATAGACTCAGCCTTGCCCCTCA